AAATGTAGTTCCTGTTTGAGCCTGTTTTGCTCGGTGCACATAGCTAAGCTTTCTAAATCGGTTCAAGGTTCAAGCGAACCTATGTTGTAATGAGATCGACAGCGCTTCTATTCGATAAAAAGAGATTAAAACATTGGAAGCATTGTTGTTTGTGTTTGCGGGAAACCATCTCGAAATTCAGGAACGGTGTACTTAAGAACGCGCTGCTCTTGCACATTAGCATTTGAGGATTTTAATTAGCATATAAGAATCGGGGTTTGTGAAATCACTCTATTATCTAGTTACCGAGTTGATAAAAATAATGCCAAAGGCCGAAAACTAAAGCAAGTTTGCTGGTCTTGGTTTGAAATACGTTCGTTTTTAAATAAAATGCAAAATAAAGACTACCTGGAAAAGTTGCATTGAAAAAGAAATAATTTCGACAGAAGCAAAGGCGTGGGAGTGGAAATGGTAAACTCGGACTGTCATTTAGATTTAATACATTCCGTGTCTGTTTATTGCATTAATAAATCATCCCAGTGGCACATTTGTGAATTACTGATAAAAGAAGACCGAGGGTGCTAAGCAAGGAGATATTTCTAAAATGAATTGTCTTTCAAATGCATCATCTTTTGACGCACTTAACAATATTAACAAGGACAAATCAAGGGATTGATACCAATCATCTCACAAAAGAGAACAAATTATTTCCTCCTGTCTCAAGCAATTAGTCAAGGAAGTAATTAAGCAGAGAGGAGTCCGCACAACATGAGTGAAAGTCGCAAAATAATTGAATATGTTGGCTAATACTCAGTCTCTAACTGCTGTCCAATAATGAACAGAAAACTGACAAGTAAGCAAACCAGTAAGTTTTGAAATATCTGTGTCACGGTTATTTGAATCCGGGGGGTGGGGGACTCCCATATGAAAAGAGCGGGGATGCTCGTTGGGAAATTTGAATTAAACCCTTAAGGGGAGAACAATTTGGGTGTGGCCCGAGCTTTATTTGTCCCGTAAAAGATACCGTGGGGGATAGGCTTGATTGCCAACCACTGTTCAGTAAAGGAGGCCGCACTAGTAGACCGGAGTCGAAAGACTGGCGGAGATCGAGCCTAAAGACGGAAATGAGAGCATTATTTAATTGTTATCTCTTCGAGTGCACCCTAAAAGGTAGTTTCGTCCTCAACACGCTAAATGAGACCAAACTCCTTGATTAACATCCCTAAGAGCTCCTGAGCGAGACCGCGAGCATCCCCGACCTTTTCATATACGGAAGTCTCCCCCCCCCCCCCGGATTGAATCTGTTGAGATTTCATAAGGCTTGTTATCTTCATATTTTATTACAGGTCAAGACCAGAAGTTCATAACATATACACATTGCAGCCTAATTATTCAGAAAGTTGTCAATTAACTGGTAAAAGCGGAAAATTTGCTTATCGTCTCTACGTAAAGAAACCATTTATCTCAATGATTCGTTCATGACTTTTTAGCAGCGTGCTAATTACGAGGAGACATCTCCGAAATTAAAACTTTGTTTTTAAATGCGATCGGATATTAAATTCAATTCCGTAATTAATTAAGCACTTCTTATCAGTGTTGTAAACGATTATCGTTACAGTTTCGCTATCGTTTCGCTCTTTTCCCGTCGGCGACGATATTAGCCCTGCAGGTCAATCAGATCATTTGTCTTCGGTGCGTTGCTTATTGTTCAAAGTGCCAAGTTCTGTTAAATTAACGTGCCCTGAAGCGAAAGCAATGATTCTTACCGTTACACTGAAAAAAATTAAAGGTTTTCTGTCGTCGTAGTCATGGGCAACAATGCGTTTTCGTTGTGTTTCTTGTTGAATCGCAAAGCTGCTTTGTTATTGTCACGTAAATCCGCGCGTAGGAGACTCGCATTTTTGTCTGCATGCAGCCGGCTTGATCTGGTTCTGCGTGTACTTTCAGAGATGCGGCTGCTTCCTCGCTGACGCCGAGACAGCGCAGTTCTGAAACCCCTTCTGTAATTCTCGTTGAAAATTACGTAAATGTAGGGATTCACTGCTGAGTTAGCATGTCCGAGATAGAGAGTGAGAAAATCCATTGCGTATGGCAGACCGCAAATATAACGAACCGATTCGGCGAACATCACGAACATTCTCACGTATAACGGAAGCCAGGATAACGCGAACACGATGACAACCGTGACGAGCATCTTCAGAACTTTCCTGTTGGTCTTGTCTTTGTTTTCTTGATTTGAAGAGAGTTCTTGCCCAGGTGCTTGCCTTCGCCACAATTTCATCATGATCACCGAGTAAAGAGAGGCAATCACCGTCAAAGGCAAGGCGTAAAGCAGAAAAAACAGCGCGATGGTGTAATCTCTCGGAGCTTTAGCTTCATCAAACGGAGGATCCCAGGTTTCCACGCACTGGGCGACGCCTTTCTCACCAGTTATACCCAAAACGTAAAGTTGAGGGCCTGAAATTATGATAGATGACAACCACGATGCTGCGATGATACCTTTAGCAACGCGAAACGTAATGACGCGTTTTAGCGGCCTGAAAATGGCGAAAAAGCGATCGAACGCGATCGCGCAAAGCGTGAAAACAGAAACCGAGATGGAGAGGGACTGCGTGAAGTTGAGTAGCTTGCAAAGCACCTCTCCTATCCAGCCGCCCACAGCCCACACATCCAGCCCTTGAAAAATCCAGTACGTTGTGGGTAGCATGTTGAAGACGGTGGTCAAGAGGTCGGCCAGAGCCATATTGATGATCAGGTAGTTTGTAATAGTTCGCATTCGTCGGTTTTTGTGAACGACGCGGACCACCATGGCGTTTCCAAACAGAGAGAGCAACATCACTAAAATATAGGCAGCTGCTTTGATGCCTTTCACATACTTGTTGGAATTCGGGTCTGGGCAAGACGGGTAATCTGGAGTCGTTAGCGCAGTCGGCACGCCAGATGCCGGTAGAGTTTCGTTGACCATGACGTGCCACAAGAAGAAGACCGCGGAAAGAAAGCTATGCGGCTCTTGACAAACGGCGAACTTCCAGGCCGTAAAGTGGGCTTTTACACTTGATTAGCGCCGGTCACTTTTAAGGGCTTTTTAAGTTTTGCCTTTCAGCGAGATGATTAATCCTTCTTAGAGATGAAAACCCTCCTGACAGCTAGCCGCGGAGTCTGCCAGAAAGAGGCGCATTACTTGAAAGGCGATCGAAACAAAACAAGAACTGAAAACAAAAAATCTGCAACATTATATGTTTGTGAGATGTTTACAAAGGCTCGGTTTTAAAATGCAAATTCTTTCGTTGATGAACGTTGTGATTTAGGTGTAAATTAAGTTAAGACGCTTTTCCGATCAAAGTAAATCCTATGACATGCTCGCCAATTTTGGAAAATGAATGCGGATATCGGCTTTGACTCTCGGAGCTTTTGTTCAATAGATGCAGATAAACACAATCATAACATAATGTAGTTTGTAATCTTTCGTCGATTTTATTACTTTTTACTTTATTTGTGCATGTTTAAAAGAAAACTTCAGACCTTCAAGGGGATCGATAAAATCCGGTGAAACTTTTACTTCAAAGTGTGGGGTTATAAATCATTTATAAGACATAAATACGGCAAGAAAGCGTGCATCTGCGGAATCTTTTAATAAAAAAAATATATAACAAGCTAGTATCTTTGCGAAAAAATGCTGCATCAGTTTAAAATAGGAACGGCCTGGAGAAAGTCACTGATTGTTATAAATAGGAGGGGAAAAAATCACCCGAGTGGACTAATGAAAATGACTGTTTTCATTGGCAATAAATTCGGTATATTTCAAGAATTGATACGAGAAGAAAACATCTGGTTTTGATATCGCCGATCCAAAATCTCTCCACGAGCCTAAACAATTCGCAATATTCTGATATTTCGTATGAAGCCATGAAATAATTATCAGTTATGCTTGTCCCAGAGCTACGCAGGCAGAATAATCTTCACCTGGTTCGTAGCAGGCATTATCTTAAAGAATAAAATTTCTGAGACTTGTTAAAAGTATTGTTAGGGACAAAGTAAGATTGATCTGTGAATTTTATTAAAAACAGGATTGTTTGTCGAGGGCTAACTAGAACTTCCAATGTTTTGCCCTTTGTGGCTTGTGGCCTTTTTTCATAGATAAAACAATAATTTACGGATCTTGTTGAGATTCCCCAAAAGTCTGGCAAAAGTGATATTTCACTGATAAAGCAATGATATTATTCTTTTCCATGGGGACATGCCTATTTTTCACCGCTGAATTATGCGCTATACCTACGCAGGAAAATATCTTGTTATCAAAACGGAAATCCCCCATTAGTAAGCCAAACGCATGTTTAAACATAATGACAGGCTGACTATAAAATCCATATTCCTTATTTACGAGCGAGAAATATACAAATTATTTTATGGGAAATCAAAAAGTCGTCTTCTGTAGAATGAAGCAAGCAAAGGGTGACTGCCTCACAACCAGTCATCAGTTGAATCAAGACCTCAGTCATCAGGGAATGTTTGGGTGTTCAAAAGCTAAGTCTTACAATCACAGAGCATTCCGCTTTGAACTTGCCGTCCTTTATCCAAATGAATATGCGAAACAAAATGTTTTCTTTTTCGCATACCTCCTCAATAAAGGAAACTATTCCCACTTTTTGTCCTTTTTGTTTTTAAAGAAGACATGGTAGGGAACTTAAATCAAACTGCGCCCACGCACCCTTCTCAACTTGTATTCAGGACCCGCCGGCAAAGAAAACTCGAGTGGTTCTGAGAACAACAAAATTTTCGCGCTTAAAAATAGCAATTTTTACCACCGTTGACGATCGATGCTACGGTCATGTTAGGGGATTGTTATTTGGAAAAGTTACAAACTAAATCTCGCATTCCTCGGCAAAAACACGGTCTTATCACTACGGTCTTTCAATGATGGCCCTGGATACGAAGTTGTAAAAGAAATAATATACGAGGCTAAAGAAAAAATTACGAAAAGTGGAATGAAGAACGATGTCATTTGAACGTTGCCGAGAAACCTGTTAAATGACGTTCGTCATGCGTAAAAAAATTCCCTCTAATCTGTTTTTTTGTAGCTAGTGTGAAATGTGAATGAAAATAGCTATAAATACACTGAGAGGAAAATAG